GTAGAAAAAAAGAAAGAAGAGTAATTATATATCTATTATATCTGTTTTTCATTCGGAGTTGTGTCTTTAATTTGACAACAACCGCTTAACACTGTTTTATCCTAGGCGATTCGAAGTAGGTATTGATATAAGGATAAGATTTACTTTTAGGAATTTTTGGTCCTCATTTGGCCTTTTCAACGTTTTTTGATTCGAGTGTCACTGATGAGTCTTTTGTAGACGAAACGCGCGTCTTGCGCCAACACAAAATTTCAATCCTGGTATCTATGTTGAGTTTATTTTATATAATGTTCGTCCAGCTTAATGTATTACTTTACTGCTGGTTAACAATTAGTAGACAATTAGTAGACGTGGTAGCCAATCTAATTTTTCAAAGAAAAATTTCGGAAATTATAATTATTAAAAAAGACACGATTACAGAAATATGCTTTAGAAAAATTTCATCAGAATTATATATGACTAAGGCATTTTGAAATTTAAAAAAGGATTAGAATGAAAGTAAAATAACAGAAATACCGAAGTCCAAGGAAAATTCAAATCGGAAAGTCCTAATCAAATGGCAAAATCAAAAGCTCAAACACATCAAACGAATGGAAAACAACTGTCTTTTGAAGGCATTTGCTAGCTTCTGTTTGTTGAAAATTAGATATAACATAGCATTCAACAAAATACTACCTTACTTTCAAATAACTATTTCAAAAATATTTATAGAAACTATAAGCAGCTGTTTCATAGTAATCAGGTATAATTGGTAGTGAAGGAAAGAGTATGCTATATTTTTCGTCATGCATAACATTGGTGTTTTGGCTGTGGTTCTTGTACATCAGCTTGATAACATTCTGAACAGTTGAACGGTTTAATTTGATGAAATAAATTGCAGCACATTCAATATTTTGAAGAAGAAAAAACTACAATAGGAGGAGAGGAACACTTATATAATTCAAGTATAATTCAAGCAAATTTGATCAAACAATTGCTTCAGACGCATAACATTTATAAATATATATATTTTGTTTTTAATTTTTGTTAACCAGTTGATAAATCCATTGCACTTTTTAAAACTGTAGGGTCTGTATCACCGAAAATTGAATGTAGCGTAAAGTTATAAAAATCGAATATGTTGTCTAATTTTCAAAACATACGTTGTCAAACTTATCAAATTTCATAACAGCAAGATAGACAAAAACTGATGAATGAGTATTGATTTGTTTCCGGACCCACCGAGTTAAAACAACTACTGTTAATCCTGATTAGTTGCAAGTAATGGTGGCCAGCAAGAGGTATTCACATGGAGTCGTTTCAATAAGAACAGACTATCTTTAAGCAAAATCGATTATATTCTTCAACATGATTTGATTGAAAGTAGCGAGAGTGAACGGAGCTTACCAATTTCCAAAATCTGGTACTAGTAAGACATTCAGAATGGTAGTATATTAGTAGACAAATAACAAATTCAAATTATTATCCCGTTCATAGGTTTGACGACTGAATGGATGAAATTAAGAAGGCTAAAAACTTTAAAGTTTGAACATGACGATTTCCACATCAAGGGCAGAATATGCTTGCTCTTTCGGAGCACCCCAGGTCACCCCGTTATTGGTGGGGTTCGTGTTGCTGTAACTTTAGTTTTCATTATTGTGGTTTGTATACTGTTGTTTGACTTTTTGTCGTTTTTCGTGTTTTGATTGCCATGGAGTTGTAAGTTTGTCATCGACTTATGAGTTTAATATCCCTTTGGTATCTCCCGCTGTTCTTTTACAGTGATACTAGGGAAAAACATTAAGAGGAAATGAGTATTCCTTTTTTTTTAATTGTAAAAGAGATAAAACTAACGGTTAATCTAGTAAAGGAGAAGTATACATAATTACTTTGGAAATGAAACATTTTATTTTTTGGACACACCGGAGAGCAAAGTCTACACTGTTATGTCACCTTCAAAATTGACTATATATTTCATATACGAGTATACCTTACAATAAATATTTTAAAGTCGTTAACGGCTAGATTTTAACAAACCTTGTTTTGAAAGTAATAATGTCAGAAGTGTATTTGCTTATTTGGTATTTTGTTTTATCTTCAGTTTATTGTTTTCTCCTGATATGAATTTTTGTTTTAAATGACATTTACAGGAAATATACTTGTGTTCTTATAAGCAAGTCTCATATGATCAAAAAATGGAAATGGTTCAAATCAAAAGTATAATGTAGATATAAGAAGATGTGGTATAAGTGCCAATGGGACAACTCTCCATCCAAGTCAAAATTTATAAAAGTAAACCATTATAGGTCGAAGTACGGTCTTCAACACGGAGCCTTGGCTCACACCGAACAGCAAGCTATAAAGAATCTATATAAAAAACAAGAAACGAGAAACATTTATGAACCACATCAACAAACGACAACTACTGAACATCAGATTCCTGACTTAGGACAGGTGCAAACAAATGCACCGGGTTTAAACGTTTTAATGGTACCAAACCTTCACCCTTATCTGAAACAATTCAATATTGAATACAATAACGATGGAGCACAAATAAGATCTTATCTCATTATAAGTCAAAGCTACATTCAACTTTATCCGCAAGTTCTATATATTTAGTGCAAACAATAAAAAGGTGTCCTCTATTCCTTTACATTTTGCAATTTTATGTGAAAGTAAATTTTGAAATTTAAAATCAAAGTTGAAATTACACTTGTATGCTTAAAATAGAACACGACATTTTACTGTATTTCTTTACTCATGCTTCAAATTCCGTGGGGGGTAGCGAAAATTATGTTGTGTTCGTATATCTTTTAAAAGAAGTAAATGCATTTTTTAATACATTTTTTATTTCAAGAAAATGATTAAATAGATTTCAATAAATTAATCAGGCACTTGTTTACTGCAGTTTAACCCTTAAAGGTTAATGGAAAGTGAATCATTTGCTATTTAACGGAGTGAGAGGTGATTTGAATGCATACTTTTACATTTGATAGCTTTGTAAAGCCTGGAAAAAAACAGTATGAAAGCCAAATTTCAAACATTTTGTAGGAACAAAATTCAACATACTATACTTTATAACCTAGGTAAAAATGTAATGTATACAAATACTATTCATATAGCAATATCTTACGTATTCATTTTTAAAACATTATATTAATTACGATCCTTTTGCATTATATACAGGTACTGTTTGTATATCACTATTTATACAGGGTAGATTCGTGAATCATTAAGGACATTTGTATAGCTTTGCATTTGTTTAATTTATATTGCATCATAATGGATACATTCTGAAAGTATCGCACTTGTTACATTTTATAGCAAAACATTAATTACATTCATAGTATAACACTAGCAACGACCTTATAGTAAAGCACTAGTCACGTGGATCTAAAGTTTTACATTAGGTGTATGTTTTCATCCTAAATATTGACTTGATTTTTACTCATATAAAGAAAAATTAAGATATATTATTGATGTTCTGTAACTCAATAACCCACATTTTAACGAGTGCTGTCCGTTTCAGATCTTGATCTTTTTCTCGATATAAACACAGAAGAGCGACTTCAAAGTTGAATCTATGACAAACATGAAAGTTTCAATTTCAAATTTCCATCTTAACATTTCTTTGCAGCTGAAAGCATCCTGACCACAATCATGAAATCAAACAACTGTACTGACACAATTACAGAAATTAAAGAAAGCTTTTTGATACCCTATCTTGGATCATTTGGTACTGGAAATCCGTTTACTCGTCACAACTATAAAACGTGCTTTGTCGTGTAATTAAAAAAAGAGCTGGCGATCGAGAATGGAAAAATGAATTAAAATTACAGAGTTATATCGCATGCATGTATTGTGTATAAACAAGTAAAATGGGTTTTGGTGAAGACTAGACTGGGTGCAATATTTCGAAATAACAACAAACAAAGCATCACAAAAAAGGTGTTGATAATTGTTTCATTAAGTACGTTCAGTCCCTTCACCGCTGTGAAAATGTAATTAAATCGACAATCAAGGAAAACACATTATCATGAAAAATGTGACTCATGATTTAACTTTCTTTTTGTTCTGTTTTTTTGTAAAGGGGGGGGGGGCAATCAAAATAAAATGAAAAAGGACCTCCGCCAAAAATATCAATCCCTTGTGCCATTATAAGAATGTGGAAAAGACGAAGGTACCAAACACTTCTTGCTCAACTGTGCAAGATGCCAACAGAAAAGTAAAGAAATGATCAGACAGTTGAATAAATTCATCATCCCGACAGAACTGAACACGCAATAAGCACCAACAAATCCAACAACATAACAGCTAATATTGTAGGAGAATATTAAGGTAATAAAGAGCATTTACAGGACCTAATAAGCCCTGAAACGTCTTAACCCAAGGATACGGGATCCATACTTGAAACAGATGCAAATAATTGTTACCATTGGATCGAAGATGACCATACATATGTTTCGTTTTTGGTAGCCACAATGCCGTCAGTTTTCCTCTATTATGTCATTATCGGTTACATTTTATTTTATTGGCATGAGCAACACGACAAGTTCCACAATGGGTAATAACTACCTACCCTACTTAAACACTAAGTTTATCCCCCATCCTGGTTTGGCCCGTTTTCTTCTATGCTTAATTTTCTGTTTGGACGTTTTCTCTTTTCGTTGATTTCTTTTTTAACACGGTGTTGTTTGTTTGTCTTCAACCAATGATATTGATTATCATTTTTGATTTGGAATCTATCTAATTTTGAAGCAGTATAGTGTTGGGCTTGTAGTTAATTAAATATCAGATTGGTATTACAATAAGAGTGATAACCCTTTTTGGGGTTAGGGAGCGAGTTGTCAATTGCAATGCGCATCTTACGATTTTCATCGTGCGGATCATAATGTATTTCCATGCTTTCATATGTATGTATGTCCAGTCACTAAACATAACTTGAGTAAATTTGGAAATCGACGTTCCTTAATTGTAATCCAACTTGAAATTTTATAAACATCGTATTAAATAAAACAAACCCTGTGGAGGTGAGAGTATTCCATACAACTTTGGATATTCCGTTAAAGCTATAACCACGTTGGCCTGAATACGACTCAAATTAGGTGCCTCTCCATTACAGTTTTCACTAGTTATTCCATTTCTCCAAAAGGAATCTTCAATAAAATAGGCAATGGTACCAAGCTTGTACGAAATAGGTTCGGGGTTGCTTTCAGTTCCTTCTTGTAATGATCCAACTAATTTACCTCCGTTTATGTTAAACAAATCAATATGGTAAAGTTTTGAAGGATCTATATTTACTACTGTGCCATATCCCTTATACTGTTGAAGAGTTAATGATCCTATTCCTGCCTGCAAGTAAGAATGCAATATTGTTAGTCATATCGTGAATAACCATGATACCGTATAACTTAACTGACTAAAAAGATAGGCTTGTTGTGGGTAAAATACATTTTTGAATGCTAGTACATATTTGCTATTTAAACAAGATTAAGCAACTACATGTATAGGCCCTTGGGAACATTAATAGCCTTTTGTACTCATATGTCATATTGATTCAATGCTTTTTAATAAAATCAGATAAACAGATATACTTTATAACTAGAAATACAAGTAAATTTGCTTGCATCAGTATTAATTTATAATATCAATGACAATGATGCTTCGATTGTTGTTTTAAAGTTTTATACAGATATGCGGAAGTAGTTCTAGAAGACCGGAATTTGTTCAGAAGTACAGTTGCCTCGAATCTATTGTGCTTTTTATATAGAAATCTATATAAATAGTTTCTGAACGTGCTTTCTCCAACAATTTTCGTCTCAAAAATTAATAAGGCATAAAACAAGCTAAAAATTAAAAAAAAAATGTGCAATTATATATTTTGCCAATTTTAAGTTGACACCTCAATATTTTGCACATATTGATCATTCTAAATTGTACAGAATGAGGTAAATCTAAAACCAATTGACAGTTAAAAATCTTCTTCATTAGATAGGAAATAGAGAATTTTACAGATTTTGCAAAAAGCAGAACAGAAAAGAAATTCAAAATTCATTGAGTATTTCATAGATTCTATTTTTTGGGTACCCGATCTGTGCATATTACAAATATAAAAGAAGTGGATTAGAACTTGACTCTATAACTCATTGATCTTAACCTTGAGGCTACCAATGGCCAACGTAGATACAAGTATTTTGTCTTAGGGAGGGATAAATCCTACTTTGTAAAAAAACACTCTGATTCTAACAAAAACATTCTCTGAAACTGACATTATCAAGATGCTCTGATTTCTTGTTTGACAACATATTTTTTACGTTTGGAAGACGTGTTTTTCAACAAACAATCGGCATTCCCATGGCAACCAACGTTGCCCCTCTTCTTGCCGACTTGTTCCTTTATTCATATGAGACTGACTTCATATAGGAACTTCATAGGAAGAAAGAAAAGAAGTTAGCAGTGTCCTTTACTTTTAGTCTTTACTTTACTTTCCGCTACATAGATGATGTTCCCACCGAACTTGAGATAAAGCAAACAACAAAAACAGTTAAGTCTGCCTCGTATCTTGACTTACATCTAGAAATTGACAATGAGGGTCGGTTGAAAAAAACTTGATGACAAAAGAGATGATTTCAACTTCTCAATTGTGAACTTTCCATTTTTATGTAGCAACATTCCAGTAGCGCCTGCATACGGAGTATATATCTCCCAGTTGATACGATGCTCCAGGGCTTGTATTTCCTATCATGATTTCCTTGCTAGAGGGTTGCTGCTCACAATGAAGCTATCAAACCAAGAGTTCCAAGTGTTGAAGTTGAAATCATCCCTTCGTTAATTTTACGGACGCCATCACGAGTTGGTTGACCGTTACGGAATATCCGTTTCACAGATGCGGATATGTTCCTAATGTCGTAACTACAATCCCGTTCACTTTTCCCGAATGTGACCTACCGAATTACACTTATTACCGGGTTTGAACTAACATGAGCAACATGACGGATGCCACATGTGGAGCAGGATCTGCTTACCCTTCCGGAGCATCTGAGATCACCCCAGTTTTTGGTGGGGTTCGTGTTGCTCAGTCTTTAGTTTTCTATGTTGTGTTTTGTGTACTATTGATTGTCTGTTTGTCTTTTTCTTTTTTAGCCATGGCGTTGTCAGTTTATTTTCGACTTATGAATTTGAATGTCCCTTTGGTATCTTTCGCCCCTCTTTTATGACATAAACGGTACCAATTTTTCTGCACCAGATGCGCATTTCGACATTCAATGTCTCTTCAGTGATGCCCGAGGCCAACATATTTGAACATCCAAAAGAAAATAAAAGGATATGGAGTAAATGTACATGGGACAAAATCGCACAAAATAATTAGAAAACATAGAAAATTATCAATGAACAGGGCTTTTATTCCTGTTCTTCATCTTGACAGTTGATGTAGGGTCTTCAACAATGAACGAATCATTCATACCCTACAACAAGGTCAAGACGGTCCCTAGCGTCGACTTAAGCGGTACTATTGATAAAAATAATCCACAGTTCACCTTCTTGCTCCCCACCCGCCTCGGAGTGCCAACTTGTGCGATGCTTGTGTACGACGGTTCTCCAGTCGAAAGCACCAGGGATACAAGAAAAGTGCAGTAATTTTGAAAGACATCGAACGCAGCTAAAATATGCCTTGAAGTTACACATTTCGTTTACAAGTTTACACAAAGCTTTATAAAAAGACGAAGAGCTATAAACCAAAAAGGACAAAAAGTATATCCAAAGCCGGGCAAGGAATCAGAGCTTTGCATTAATTTAAAATAATTTCCCAAATTTTGTTTCAGCAAATTTTGATAACACAAAATTCGTATTTTCATGAAGTACCGAAGTACTGGCTACTGGACTGGTGATACCCTACCAGAGGCATCGACTCAGGAGTAGTAATAACATAAACGGTACAAATTTGTCTGCACCGGAAGCGCATTTCTCGAGGCCAACATATTTGAAAATCCAAGGCTTATTTAAAAGATGAAGAGCCATAAATAAAGGACAAAAAGGGAGATATATTCCACAATTTTGTAACAACAAATTTTAATAACACAAAATCCGTATTTTCATACTATACGATTGTTTATTGTGTATATATAAAGGTGCAAGCCCTGTGTATCCGTTGTACCGATGTGTATCACATGTTCATTTTTATAGATAAAAATATATATTTTTATAAAATTTGTCAGCATAAAAATCTAATTCTAACACTGTTGGGTGTAATTTTCAGACTTATATAAAAATATACATATATATTAAATGACTGAATAATAGCCAACGATAAATCTTACGGGGCGATTGATCATATAATTATGATAGAGTACACTAAAAAATATAATATATAACAAGTCTAAAAGGGTACAACATCACCAAAAAATAATAATAAAATGAACAAATGTTAAATATTTCGGATAACAGATATCCTTCATCAGTATACTCACGATGTAAAATGAATCATATCAATCTAGTCTGATTTTAAAACTATTATATTATCATTAATAACAATCTTGAAATTTATACAATAAAACAGTCAAAAATGAACATCATAGAGACGCTTGTACAATTCTAAAATTTTTGAACATGACGTAGAAGAAAAGAGGGACGAAAGATACCAGAGGGACAGTCAAACTCATAGATCGAAAACAAACTGACAACGCCATGGCCAAAAATAAACAGACAAACAGACAAACAATAGTACAGATGACACAACATAGAAAACTAAAGACTGAGCAACACGAACCCCACCAAAAACTGGGGGTGATCTCAGGTGCTCCGGAAGGGTAAGCAGATCCTGCTCCACATGTGGCACCCGTCGTGTTGCTTAAGTTATTACAAATCCGGTGAATAGTCTAATTCGGTAAGTCACATTCGTGAAAAGGGAAGGATATAGTAGTTACGACATAAGGACCATATCCGATATCATCTGTGAAACGGTTATTCCATAACGGTCAACCAACTCGTGATGGCGTCCGTAAAATTTACGAAGGGATGATTTCAACCTCACCATTTGGAACTCTTGGTTTAATAGCTTCCTTGTAAGCAGCAATCCTCTATCAAGGAAATCATGATAGGAAACCCAAGCCCCGGGAATATCGTATCAATTGGGAGATATATACTCCGTATGCAGGCGCTGCTGGAATGTTGCTACATAGAAATGGAAAGTTCATAATAGGGAAGCTGAAATCATCTCTTTTGTCGTAAATTTTTGTTTTCAACCGACCCTCATTGTCAATTTCTAGATGTAAAAAGTCAAGATATGAGGCAGATTTAACTGTATCTGTTGTATCCTTTATCTCTAGTTCGATGGGATAGATTCGTTCAACATAGTCACCAAATTTGCTGGTCTCCGAAAAGCTAAGACAGGAGGTTTGGGAAAGATCTTGGATAATTTTGGGTGCTTGGCAATAATTTGCCAATTGGCACGGATCAAACGTGAAAGTTTAGTAAAGGCGGGATTGTATGTTAAAACAAACGGAACTATTTTGCTGTGCCTCTTCTGTTTGTACTGTAATAGGTCATTGCGGCTGTTATTGTTAGCACGCGCAAACCCCTTATCTATGTCCCATTTCTTATAACCTCGTTTTGGTCAAAAATCCGCGAAGTTCCTGTAACCGTTTAGTGACAGCCTCCTTAGAGGAGCAAATCCGCTTTACTCTGAGAGCTTGACTGTACGGGATACTTTTTGTACAGTGTTTGGGGTGACAGCTTTGGGGAGAAAGGTACTGATGTTTATCTGTAGGTTTACAGTAGAGGTCTGTTGATATGACACCGTCCTTTATAGATGTAGTTGTGTCTAAGAAAGATATTTAAGAGTCGGAAATTTCATATGTAAATTTAATTTACTGGTGGGCGTTGTTTGCATGTCTGATAAAATCATCCAATTTTTGTTGGGATTCATCCATTTCATGTCAACATCATCGATGAAACGGAACCAAGATAGAGTTTTGGATAAAGATGTAGAAATGATTTGTTTCGCTAATTTGCCCATGCAAATATTGGCGTAAGACGGTGCCATTTTCGTCCCCATCGCTGTCCCGTTTATCTGAGGGTAATGTTCACCATTACAGGTGAAATTGTTGCGTTTATGAACCAGAGTAAGCAGCTGGACTAAACATTCGGTATTGCACATTACTATTTTTGTTTGAAGCATATCTTTGCAGTCTCTGTTGTAAATAGCTACATAACCTACGTCATGTTTAAAAATTTTTAAATTGTACAAGCGTCTCTATGATGTTCAGTTTTGACAATTTTATTGTATAAATTTCAAGGTTGTTAGTTTTTTTAATCAGACTAGATTTATATGATTCATTTTACATCGTGATCATACTGATGAAGGATATCTGTTCTCCGAAATATTTAACATTTGTTCATTTTATCATTATAAAAATTGCGGTTTTTATCCAACGCAATCATAAGTTTGAATGTTGTTTTCATTTTAGACTTGTTTATATATATATAGGTTGAAAGTTGTTTTCAATTTAGACTTGTTTATATATAAGATCCATTTATTACATCGGTGATCCGTTTATTTGGCAATCGCCAATGGCAGTCAGCAGGGTTTAAGAACATCCGTTGTTCGACCTGTAAGTCAAATGCGTTTTGTTTAAATATACTTTTTCACTTTTTTGGTCTTTTGGAAAATGTTGTTTGTGCTGTATCTAGACCCCTCTACCAAGAAATTTGTTACAAAAAAACATAACGGTCAACCAACTCGTGATGGCGTCCGTAAAATTTACGAAGGGATGATTTCAACCTCACCATTTGGAACTCTTGGTTTAATAGCTTCCTTGTAAGCAGCAATCCTCTATCAAGGAAATCATGATAGGAAACCCAAGCCCCGGGAATATCGTATCAATTGGGAGATATATACTCCGTATGCAGGCGCTGCTGGAATGTTGCTACATAGAAATGGAAAGTTCATAATAGGGAAGCTGAAATCATCTCTTTTGTCGTAAATTTTTGTTTTCAACCGACCCTCATTGTCAATTTCTAGATGTAAAAAGTCAAGATATGAGGCAGATTTAACTGTATCTGTTGTATCCTTTATCTCTAGTTCGATGGGATAGATTCGTTCAACATAGTCACCAAATTTGCTGGTCTCCGAAAAGCTAAGACAGGAGGTTTGGGAAAGATCTTGGATAATTTTGGGTGCTTGGCAATAATTTGCCAATTGGCACGGATCAAACGTGAAAGTTTAGTAAAGGCGGGATTGTATGTTAAAACAAACGGAACTATTTTGCTGTGCCTCTTCTGTTTGTACTGTAATAGGTCATTGCGGCTGTTATTGTTAGCACGCGCAAACCCCTTATCTATGTCCCATTTCTTATAACCTCGTTTTGGTCAAAAATCCGCGAAGTTCCTGTAACCGTTTAGTGACAGCCTCCTTATTATTTGGGTCTATTTACAGTTCAAAACAAAGAGTTTCTATAAATGAGTTACAACTGCCCCGAAACACATTTATCAGCATGATCAGATTGAAAGGATTTATCACACAGTGATTGAAACTGACTAAAAGTTGAATTGTGAAACAAACAACAAACATAAAATAAGTTGAAGTTTAATGGTGCAGTAAAATTGGTACCGTGAATGTAATAATGAATATATTAATAACCTCGAATTACTAAGAAACTAAACAGTATCAAAGCAATACAAAAAAAAAAAAAGCTTTAAAATAAAAAATAACCAAAATCTTTAGCTTTCCAAAACTTTGATTACTAGATCAAGTGTCGGGAAGATTATTTATTTCCAATAGTCCGATAAAATAAAAAAAAAAAAAAAAAGGAATTTAAGTTTTGAACATATTAAAAATTTTTAAAGGTATTTTATTTGAACATTTCCCTGACATAATGAAATAGTATTTGATATAAAAAGCCGGACCAAAATATTGGATGTGAAATAAAATTTAGTTGTAACTCAAATGTATTAAACCATTGTCGTGACGTCAGCCTATTCATTTACCGTGGATTCTTTTTCTAGAATCAACGCTTTCTAAATCTGTCGCTGAAATGGATTCACCAAATTATATTCAATTGTTTCCTTTGTGTGACCAATTTCATTAAGTTTGAATTAGCTAATTTACTGATTTCTGTTCACTAATGGAATTAATTTAAAAACTTACCTTTAATTTTTGTAATTTTTATATGCCTTCACTGGGTTTCGAACCCGTCCTTGAAATCTATTATGTGTGGCTGACATCAACATATCGACGAAACCTCTCGGCTACCAATTGGTTACAATTTAAATGTCTATTTTATATATATAAATGAACATATGATATACATCAGTACAACGGACACACAGGGCTTGTACCTTTATATATACATAATAGGCAATCGTATAGTATAAGTTGGTAGCCGCGAGGTTAGCATGGTTAAGATCAATGAGTTAAAGAGTAGAGTTAAAGGTAGGGACTTGTCGGTTTAGGTTCGAATCCCTGTATTCTCTTTGTTGTCCCTATTCTTTAGTTTTTCTGTTTTTTTCTTATTTTGTATGTAATTGTGGATATTTTTGTAATAATAGCGAGTTTTACCGTTTTTTTTTTTAATTATTATTATTGGCTATTTCACATATTTGAAACGAAAATGATTGCATTCAATTTGTCCATTTTTGTTTTATAAATATAGTAAGATTTCATCTGTTTTACTACATACTTTTACAAATGTTTATTCGCAAATTCCTATGCGAGTAAATCGTGATGTGCCTAGAATTAGTCATCATGCTAGAAATTTCGGTAACATACTTATTATATATACTTTATATATGCTCTTTGGTCAGGTTGTTGTCTCTTTGACACATTCCCCATTTCCATTCTCAATTTTATTAGAAATAAGTTCGAATATGTAAACACAGATGATATTCAGATGGCTGATAATTTAAAGACAGACGTGTTGTGTTATATTTGTATTTTGCTAACCAATTAGTTGTGATCTCATATTTAGTAATGCATCGTTGAACATGATACCATGGTTATTTAAACTTACTTACAATACCTTCTAATTCAGAAAAGGCTTTAAATTTGAACAGACATTGACACAATAGTTTAAGTTATAGATACAATGAATAAGCGTTGATTAATGAAAAACAAACCATTCGCCCTCCGGGCTCATGGTTTCTTTTTCAAGAATCAACGCTTATTCATTGTATCTATATATTACTTAATTGATTTAAACTGTAAATAATAAAAAAGGATAATTTCTCACTAAAATATTACATAATTTACATTCATACTTACAATCAGTAAACATATACATTTCCAAAATTTTCTTTGTACTGTTGTGTCACCTAATATCTATAACGCATTTTTGTTAAAAATATTTCCCAAATGATAAGAAAGTCCTTACATCACTAAACCTAATCCATAAATGACATGCCGAAAAAGGAAGTCATGTATCAACTATAAACATTGCACTGACAAAGAAACTAATTCTTAAATAAAACCAATCAAGAGATCATTTAAGCCTTGAGCACTTTACAATATTCTAAGTTTGTAAGAGAATGATAATCCCTTACATATACTTGGTAGCCGATAAGTCTTGTCGATGTGTTGATGTCAGTCACACATAACAGGTTCCATTAGTGAACATAAATCAGTGAATTAGCCAATTCTCAACTAAATGAAATTAGGCACACAAAGGAAACAATTGAATATAATTTAGTGAGCCTATTTCAGCGACAGATATAGGAAGCGTTGATTTTAGAAAAGGAAACGACGTTAAATGAATAGGCTGACGTCACGGCGATGGTTTAAATACAAATAAACAATACAAACAAACAAGCAGTATACATGCATAAGAATAATAACATTCATAGTGTTCATGTTAATTAATAATCTATCTCTGTGTGGCTTGACGGAGATATGAGCATTTAAATTCAAATAAACATAAATATGTTGATGTTTTATGTTCGTTGGTAAGCCATTCCATAGAGTTGCAGAACTACATGCAAAAGATGTTTTCCTTATATTCGTGTTTGGCCAAATAACTACCAATTGTTTTTTTATAGACATATCTTAAATTTCTTTCATAAATTTCAGAGTTTTGAACTTCATCGCTTGGAAAAAACGATATTTATCTTTTTGTTAAAGTTGTTAGTTGTTTCATATGAAATCACACCATCTAACTTGTCTTTAAACCTTTAGAAAGCAACTTCCTCTTATAGAACTAAACATGTATGTATGCAATGGAAATTTTACGGACATTTGTTTCACAAAGCCAAATATATGGTATAGAAAAAACCATCTTGACTTTATTTTAATATTCTAAATATTTCATTATAAATTCTCACCGATAAAACGCTATTCAATAATTCAATCTGGTCATATCTGTTAACAGATTTTGTTCCGATATCAACGCCGACAATAACGTGCTGTAAAATAAAATTAATACATTTTCGTTATCTCATATAAATATGCTCTGGTGCATGATTTTTTATTTATATATATTTATTTTTTATTGGCTTTTAACTAACTTTCAGTAACTATTTAGTATGACGATAAATTTTCACTTCTTTACTCGTACTATGAACAACAATTTTTTTTTTTTTTTGTAAAAAATATTTCCGTACTCAAAATTATTATATTCAAGAGAGGGGCGAAACTTGTAGCTCGAAAATAAACTGACAACGCCATGGCTAAAAAATAAAAAGACAAGCAGACAAATAATAGTACACAAGACACAACATAGAAAACTAAAGACTAAGCAACACGAACCCCACCAAAAACTTGGGGTGATCTCAGGTGTTCCGGAAGGGTAAGCAGATCCTGCTCCACATGTGGCACCCGTCGTGTTGCTCATGTTATTACAAATCCGGTAAATAGTCTAATTCGGTAGGTCACATTCGTGGTAAAAAAGGAAGTGGATTGTAATTACGACATAAGGAACATATCCGATATCTGTGAAACAGTTATTCCATAACGGTCAACCAACTCGTGATGGCGTCCGTAAAATTTACGAAGGGATGATTTCAACTTCACCATTTGGAACTCTTGGTTTAATAGCTTCCTTGTAAGCAGCAACCCTTTATCAAGGAAATCATGATAGGAAATACAAGCCCGGGAATATCGTATCAATTGGGAGATATATACTCCGTATGCAGGCGCTGCTGGAATGTTGCTACATAGAAATGGAAAGTTCACAATTGGGAAGCTGAAATCATCTCTTTTGTCGTAAAGTTTTGTTTTCAACCGACCCTCATTGTCAATTTCTAGATGTAAGTCAAGATATGAGGCATACTGAACTGTATCTGTTGTATCCTTTATTTTTAGTTCGATGGGATAGATGCGTTCAACATAGTCACCAAATTTTGAATTATTTAGTGAGAGAATATCATCTATATAGCGGAAAGTAAAGTTAAAGTAAAGTAGTGTGTTTTTCTATGTTGTGATGTTACACTATTGTTTCAGATATGGGTGAAGGTTTGGTACCATTAAAACGTTTAAACCCGCTGCAATTGTTTGCACCTGTCCTAAGTCAGGAATCTGATGTTCAGTAGTTGTCGTTTGTTGATGTGGTTCATTAGTGTTTCTCGTTTCTCGTTTTTTATATAGATTAGACCGTTGGTTTTCCCGTTTGAATGGTTTTAAACTAGTAATTTTTGGGGTCCTTTATAGCTTGCTGCTCGGTGTGAGCCAAGGCTCCGTGTTGAAAACTTTAACCTATAATGGTTTACTTTTATAAATTTTGACTTGGATGGAGAGTTGTCTCATTGGCACTCATACGACATCTTCTTATATCTAATTAAAGGATATTGCTAACTTCTAATCTTTCTTCCTAAGAAGTTCCTGTATGAAGTCAGCCTCATAATAATAAAGAAACAAGTCGGCAAGAAGAGGGTCACAATTGGTTCCCATTGGAATGTCGACATTCTATTGAAAAACACGTCCTCCAAACGTAACAAATAAGTTGTCAATCAAGAAAGCAAGCATTTTGATTTTTGATAATGTCAGTTTCAGGGAATTTTTTGTTTGAATCAGAGTGATTCTTTACAAAGTAGGATTTATCCCTCCCCAAGACAAGATACTTATATCTACGTTCGCCATTCTTTTTTTATGAAACAAAGCGGTACCAACTCTTTCAATTTGTCTTTTAGTTTGGAATGGGGAATACTTGTGTAAAGTGTAGAAAAGTCAAATGTTTTAATACTATTGCAAGATGAGAGAGTCTTAGATTGTATGTAAACTGTCGTTTGGAAGACGCTGTTTTATTTGCTCACCATAAACATGCCGAAACGTTCAGTATGGCTAATATTTCAGGCTGAAGACGGTCACATTCATTTAAAAAAGCATTTTGTAAGCAGATAATTGAATTACTTCAGGTTTGGGCAACGAGTCTGTATCATAAAGCTCATGTCTTGTCGACCTCATAACTATTTAAAACATTTTATTAATTTAATGAGTTTATTTCAATTAACTGTTCACTTTTGCTTCTCTTGCTTTTGGTAGGTATCAATTTTGTTTTAACCCGAACCAGGCATATGGATTGCTTAAGGATGACCTGCAATTTATTGTTCAAGTCTTTGTTCTTTGATCATGGTCTATGGATAGTTGTCTCATTGGCAATCATACTCAACTCCTAGTTTTATTTAATCATTTTGTTTCAGAATCTCTCATGCAATGGTAGTACCTTTTACAATTACTATTTATGTGTTGCGTCTAAATATGTATTTTAACACTTTATAGGGACTGAAAAGGGTTAACAAAACATCAACAAATGTTGAAGACACTTCCAAACAGCACCAGATCACTAGACATTGCAGCTTATAAAAGGAAACTGATATTTAGATAGTTCAATTTCAGGGTTAAACATGTTAAAATCTTGTGAAAGGAAAAAAACATACAAAAAAAAATCAGATAAACACTGTAGTTAATTAAGAAAGATATCATTAAGTGATTATTTCTGTATTGGCCTTGTTATTGGTCCTCGACCAGCTGTATTGGCCTTCGGCTTTGCCTCAGGCAAATACAGCAAGCCTCGGATCATAATATTGGGAAGTTCGCAACTCCCTAAAAAAAGTTCATTCTTAGTGGATTCAGTTAATCTTTTTAGACCCCTTTATCAGTTACATCTAGCTCCTCATGCATAATATGTACAGTAGTTTTAAATCCTTTGTTCTAAAATTTTTAGTTGTGAGGTAAATCCAGTCAAAAACTTCAGTCCCACCAATTTGATAAGGTGTAATTGTACTACAATAAAGTGGACATTGCACAAATTCATTTCTTCTTTTCTGAATCAGACGTTGTTTTTATAGATATACCCCAAAATTTAACCACTACTATCAAAATGTCAGACAAAATGATTGCATTGTACATGAAGCAGATGCAGTACTTTTTCAACAGCTTGAATTTAGAAACTGCGAGCATATTTTTCCACGATGTTTACTATTTTTTCAAAATATAAGTGCTTGTGTTTCCAATTATTCTATCTCCAAACAGTTAATTCTCTCACTAACTATCCTATAAGCGATGTGTTTGACAATGTCAAAGGTTTTTAGCACTATAAAAATGTCAGAGTTTTTTTTCGAAAAGTAGTGGTCTGAACGTTTTGACCATCAAAATTTTCAAAGGACTGGCACAATTTTGGTATTTTGACATATTTTGGTATTTATTTTAGAAATAATAGTGAGGATCAGCTGATTTTCTTCAAGGGCCACGAAAAAAAAGATTTCCAGAACACTGAATTGTATGCCTATACTCACAGTTCCCCAAAAATCTAAAAATTGACGGTAAGCAGCTTGGTTGTACACAACAGGCAACTGACAAACAGCGCTTGAAAACTCAACAGTGAGTTCATGGAGACTAGAAAACGTCGGTGGAAGGATGTATCTGGTTCGTCCCTCATTACATACAGTTATTTCATCGCGGAATGCATCTTGTTTGTCTTTTGTCATATGCTCTATGTCTTTGACAACTGATGGTATAAAAAAACAAATTATTATTCGTTATATAGCTCATTAATACAGGTAAGTCTTGGACTATTGATTTAATTCCAAATCTTGATCTTTATCATCAAATAAAACAAAACTCAATACCCTATAAACGTGGCTGCGTATCTATACATCCATTTTTTTTTAATTGTGTGTGTGTGTGTGTGTGTGTGTGTGTGTGTGTGTGTGTGTGTGTGTGTGTGTGTGTGTGTGTGTGTGTGTGTGTGTGTGTGTGTGTGTGTGTGTGTGTGTGTGTGTGTGTGTGTGTGTGTGTGTGTGTGTGTGTGTGTGTGTGTGTGAAATCGCACTGAGTAGTTTTTAAATATATTTTTTTTAAAGATTTGGGATATAGAAATTTGTCTGCCTGTTTGTTCAATAATAAGGCTATTAATGATACTTGGTATATTTGTAAGAAAAAACATGAGGGTGTGCTGTCAAAACATGTAAGAATAGAGAATGTATACGAAGAATGTGTCATCGAGACAACAATCCGACCAAAGAGCAGAAAACAGACCAAGGTCACCAATAGGTCTTCAATGCAGCGAGAAAATCTCGCACCCAAATGCAAAAATGCGGTGGTGTTAATTAAACATGTTTTATGAGATCTCAACACTCCCCCAATACCTATAACCAATGTGAAATATTTATAAACAAACACACAGCAATAGCGAGTCAGATGTTAGAATGGTTACAGATTAAACTAAGCAAAATGACAATGATCAACATAAAATAACAAAAGACTACTAGCATTTACTGACATTCCAGCTCCGGACATCAATTAAAGTGATTGAAAGGTTATTCAGTACGTAGGTGAAACTGGACGATATTTATCTAAACGCACTCAAGAACATCTGTATCGTTTTAAAAGACCCAATAAATTCAAAAGTATCATTTATCAACACCTTAAGAAGCACAATCATCCTATTAAATATTTAACAGTTCAACCTTTAGAAGTAGTAAATAAGCAGCCTGGTGAATCTCATTCAAAGTTTGTACGATCGCGGAAAATAATTGAATTAATTAAACATGTTTTATGAGATCTCAACACTCCCCCAATACCTATAACCAATGTGAAATATTTATAAACAAACACACAGCAATAGCGAGTCAGATGTTAGAATGGTTACAGATTAAACTAAGCAAAATGACAATGATCAACATAAAATAACAAAAGACTACTAGCATTTACTGACATTCCAGCTCCGGACATCAATTAAAGTGATTGAAAGGTTATTCAGTACGTAGGTGAAACTGGACGATATTTATCTAAACGCACTCAAGAACATCTGTATCGTTTTAAAAGACCCAATAAATTCAAAAGTATCATTTATCAACACCTTAAGAAGCACAATCATCCTATTAAATATTTAACAGTTCAACCTTTAGAAGTAGTAAATAAGCAGCCTGGTGAATCTCATTCAAAGTTTGTACGATCGCGGAAAATAATTGAATTAAATTGGATTAAAAAATTACAGACAGTCTACCCTCTCGGTCTTATTGATAATATCATGGGAATTGGTAATATATCAAGAACCGATTCTGTTAACATTTTGGATATAGTTTCTAAAACTGTTCGTAAAAACCGTTCTCATGGTCGTAGAAAAAATCGCAATCAAAGGAAATTTCGGACCAATCATACCAATATTTCGGACCTAATTTCTATTTCAAAAAACAACGGCAGACATTATCTGTTAACAAAGCTCTGTTCATTACCGGTTAATAAGTTAAATAAAATTTTAGAGGATTGCAACACAATTTCATATAGCAGTCCTAAGTATGAAATCGTTCAAATCATAATGGCATATTGTTATTCTAAACTGTTTCCCAAAATTGATCGCCCTGAAGATCATAAAAAACAGTTTATTAAAATAAAGTATGTCAATAAAGGTTTTGATTTTGTAAATATTGCCGGTATTTTTAACGACCATTCTGTTAAAGAACAAATTCCGGGATATTTTGATAATACTGAGCTCCCTCTTATTTGTTATATTTACAAGAAATCTACCCGGAAATTTGTGTTTAATTATAGCCAATTGTGTAAAGATGTTAATATCAGTGAAAATACACCTACTTCATGTAATTGCAGTAATTCCGAATACATTTATGGACCCATTTCCCATGTTATAACAGGAGATCTTAACATCGTTCAAGACCGAGAGTTAAAATCATTCCTCAGTAAAGGACCTAAATATCGTCCCCCGTCAATTATTAATTGGAATGAGTGTCGTAATATCATCCACGACTCACTCCATACTTACTGTTTGAAATGGATAAAACGGGAAAAAGCTGACAAAAAATCTTTGGACTCTTTTTTTAAATCAGTAATGAACATAGTTGATATACGTATTCAACATTTTAAAGAACATTTTACTCTTAACAATAACCACAATAAACCTATTTCTCGTATCAAACATAAACTAAAAGAACTAGCCAAGGAATTTGTTTTTGTCCCGGCCGATAAAGCTGCTAATAATATTATTATTGTTTGACGTAAATTTTACATTGAGGTTCTGAAAAAAGAAATCACCAATTCACCAACATTCCAACTGACTCCATTTTCAGAAAACGACATCTGTAACAAACATAAACTTTTAGCTACCGCTATACAAACAGAACCAAATACAATGAAAGTCCCAACTATGTATTGGCTTCCGAAGCTACACAAAACACCTTACAAATATAGATTCATTTCGTCTTCAAGCCATTGTTCCACTACTAAATTGTCTATTCTTCTTACCAGTACACTTGGTACAATCAAAAACCTGATAATAAATTGTTCAAATAAGGCCTTCGAAAATAGTGGAATTAATTACTTTTGGAGTGTCAAGAACTCGTTGGAAGTACTTGATAAATTGCATGCATATATTGGTGATTTTGAATCTGTTCAAATTTTGATTTTTCTACCCTATATACCACATTGCCTCACATTCTCATTAAGAAAAAATTCACACACCTAATTAAATGGGCATTTAAAAAGTCAGAATGTGAATATATATGTTCAAACTCTTTTAGGTCATTTTTTAATTGCAATAAACAAAAAAACTATGTCAATTGGACATGCTTTGATACTATATATGCCGTTGTAGGACATCCACTTTTAAGATGATATAGGCCAAATGTACCATGTGGCCAAGTTATCGGAATTGTGATAACTGGATCTAAAATGAAAACATAGAAACTTTGAAATCCTGAAATTCTACAAACATCTCTCTACATAACACCGTCTTTAAAGCTGTTGAATCTGTATGCAGACACTGGAGACGTTTTATGGTTTTATGAAGTCTTAGTAGTAGCGAATTAGTTTGAACATGTATATTCCCTATGCAGGTGTAGTTGGCATATCACTGTTAAAGTGAGGGAAATTTATAATTTCAATATAGATAATAAAATTGAGAATGGAATGGGGAATGTGTCAAAGAGACAACAACCCGACTGCATCGTTTGTCATAGATTCTAGTAGTGAGATGACTACAAGTTAGAGATGTAAGTTTGAAAAAGAGACGGAGGAAGCCGTGTCTGTTGTTTCTTTAATTCTTAGTTCTGGAGGATACATTAATGGAACCCATCAGAAAAGTTTGGGTTGCTAATGGAAATAACATCATCAATATATCTGAATGAGTAATTAAGTATAAACTTGTTACAAGAATCCAATGGAATATTGTAGAAAGCATTACATCAGATGTTAGTACTGCATTGAAACTTGCAGGCGGATATTGCGTTTAAATATTTCACTGCTTTACTTTATCTTCACTGTTTAAGTCCAATATTTCTAGAAAAGAATTCAACGAAAGTTCGAATTCCGTAAGAAACCTATTTGCAGCAATCCCAACACCAGTTTTAAGCTGTTAGAACATTGATCCGCGCCACTAACTGAACAAAAATGATCACAAGGACTATAAGAGCTATGGTTCAGAAGATAGTTATAATTATAACACGACTTGTGAAACGTTTATTTTAATCTTTCAGTTTTGAATATATCTGCCTATTTATAGACCAATAAAATCAGTTCAGTTATACTCTAAATAGAAATTAAGAATATTACAATTTTCGACACGTGCAGGGACCAAATAATAACTGTTCATGATTTATTTTTGGGGAAATCGGATGTTACAGAATTTAAAACAAACTCGATAAATTAACTACTGTGACCTACTCGGAGTTACTGTGAGTATGATTTTTGCCAATTAAGCAAGTCAAAAACTTAGATACAAGTAACTTTTCTTAAAGATTATAAATTGTGCCATATAAAATATCTCTCCGATTCTTCTGAAACTGACATTATCAAGGTGCTTAATTTCTTTTATATATTTTTTATATATATTTGGAGGCAGCAATTTTCGACGAAAACATTCGGCATTCACATGGAAACCAGTAATGCTCCGTTTCTTGCAGACTTGTTCCTTTATCTATGTGAAGTTTCATAAGAAGAATACAAAGTTTCTAGCATTTTCCGGTTTTTTCTGCTATTATACAGATGATGTCCTCTCACTAAATAATTCAACATTTGTTAACTATAGTCAACGCACCATTCCAATCGAACTTGAAATAAAGGATACAATAGATACAGCAAATCTGCCTCATATCTTGATATTTTATAACATTGTCAGAAAGCGGGAGGTTTTAGCAAGCCATCAAACCAGGTTCTACCCACCATTTTTTCTTAAAATGTCCTGTTCCATGTCAGGAATGTGGCCGTTGTTATCAAATAGTTTGTTTCTATGTATGTTAGCGGGTTTTTTTACTTCAGTGTTCCTAATGTTCATTTGTTTTCCTCTTTTAGTTGATGTGTTTCTCTCGGTTTTAGTTTGTAACCAGGATTTGTTTTCTCTCCATAGATTTATGACCTTTAAACATCGGTATACTACTGTTGGCTTTAATGACGTAAATCTTGAAATTGACAATTAGGGTCGGTTAACTTTACGACAAAGGAGAGTGTTTCGGCTTTCCAATTTCAAACTTTTCATTTCTATTAACAAAATTCTAGCAGTGCCTGTATATGGATTGTATATCCACCAGTTGATAAGATATTTCAGAGCTTGCATTTTCTTTCATGATTTCCTTGATAGCGGGTTGCTGCTGACAAGGAAGCTATTTAAAGGGACACTAGCTACGAGATATATACAAAATTTAAATTAAGATTTTTTTTTTGTTCTATCATTAATGAAAGTGAAATAGTGAAATATAATTCACTTTTAGCAGCCAGTATGGTTCAATTTTGTCAAAATAAGCTAAGAAACATTGATGATGAATTATTCACTTGCAAGTAATTAATTCGACCTCATTGAATCCTATCCGTATTCATGTGAACTTCAATTTAATCCCATAGCTAGAGATGGATAACGCATGAATAGTGCATGTAAAGTTATTCAAAGGAAAATAATGTCAATATTGAAAGTGAAACAAAGGTAAATCATTTGATTGACTGATTCGATCCACAAAAAATCGTTCGTATACAGGTAAAAACGATGATTAACATATATTTTAATCTATAAAATGAAATTAAACAGACCAAGAAAACTCTAATTATACGATTTCTATATCTATTTATATTTATATTTATGTTTATATCGCTTATATGGTCATCAGAGGTCGTCGGAGGTCAACTCGATAGTTAATGAAATGGCGTCTAGACTAAAATACATTTTGTACACACGAAACGAAGCTAGATATATACATGCATTGGTTCAAGAACTGGATAAACATTATTTTTCACCAGTCACTCGTTTCATATGACTTTAATATTCTAATTTAAGATTACTTCATTTATATTATATATATTTCTTAACTGTTAAGTCCTAACGATCCTACTACCTGTCGATACTTTATTTGGCATTGCACAAGTCATGTCTTCTTTTACTGTTCATGGCGTTAAAACACTACTGGGGTGTGTTTTATTTGATTTTAGTCTATGATTCATGATTTTTTATTCTTAATTGTTTTTTTCTTTTAACTAGCTTTCAGTTATTACATGTACTCTCAAATCGTACTTTCGTGTTAATTTGACCTGTTGACATAATTTGTAATGCATTTCTGTAACTCAGTCTTTACTTATTTGCTGTTCAATCTCGTTAAACTTTTTTTTTATATGTACCATTTGATAAGTATTTAGTTTGACGATAAATTTTGATTCCATTGCTCGTACTCTGAACAACAAATTTATTGAATATTTTAAAAAATGTTTACTTGTTTGTCTTTTTCTTTTTTAGCCATAGCGTTGTCAGTTTAGATTCGATTTGTGAGTCTGAATGTCCCTCTGGTAACTTTTGCCCCTCATTTACCTCCGTACTCATAGCAACACAATTATTATTTTAAAATTTACCTGTGTACGTTGTATTATTTAATGCCATTTTGTACGAGGTTAGAGTTGTCTTATCAACAATCTTCATACATCTTTTTGTATTACTACCTATAATGTCTGTGTTCTATAGACACCTATGTTTGAATATTGTATTTATATTGTTGCATAGATCAACCTTATTCGTTCAGCGTACATTTACTTGTTTTTGATTAAATGTCTTTTTGGTCGAGTTAAGTCATTTCGATTGATATTTCACAGTGTTTCTTTTTATGTTGTAATGTTAAACTACTGTCTTAGGTTAGGGTTGAGGTTAACGACGGTCTAAACGTTTAAACCCGCTGCATTGTTATGCACCAGTCCCAAGACAGGAGCCTGTTTTTCAGTGGTTGTCGTTTGTTGATGTGGTTCATAGGTGTCTCTCCTTTCTCATTTTTTATGTAGATTTGACTATTGGTTTTCTTGTTGGAATTGTTTTACACGGTCATTCTGAGGCACTTTATAGCTTGCTGTTCGGTGTTAGCCAAGGCTCCGTGTTGAAGGCAGAACTTTGACCTATAATTGTTATCTTTTTATATCTTGTGACTTGGATTGAGAGTTGTCTCATTGGCACTCATACCAGCTTTTTATATATGTAGATATGTTTTCATTTGTGAATATATCACTGAATTGAATGCGATCAATGTCATTGTTTACACTTGAAAAAATATCGGTCTTTGTACAACTACCTCTGTTAAGTCCAATTAAAGATCGATCTTACCCATTTATATTTGTAATAGATTCCTTCCGCTGAAAATAGCTCCCTTTACTCTATAAAAGATATAGTAGACAAGACAGAGCAACGCTTTTCCAAACCATTGCATTTTGACCCCATACAGTATCATGGAAACTTCATCCCTATAGATATTGATTGATTGTCGGTTGCTTAACGTCCAGTGGCAAATATTTCATGCATGTTCAGGACGAGAACAAGTTAACAATAAATACAATAGGTAGGTCTTGTCATAATCGAGGCCATCCAGGATGATGGTCGGGGAAATTTGGACTGCCACTGGAAAATGAGGTTATATTGGATAGGGACCTTTAGATATCGTCATTTCAATTAATTAAATTATTTGATCGGCAAAAAAGGTAAAATATGTTTCAGCTTCTAGCTAAACTAACTCATGTTTGCGACAAGAAAATATTATGAACCAGGAATAAATTAAAAGTACTTTTTATACTAGAAGTATTGTTCCTCCTCTCAGCTTTTCCAATTTCACGATGCACAAACCCGATATATTCTAATCTTGAATAATTCTGACATTTTCAGACCCTTTTAAAACAAGACAAAATACGATATATAGACACCAAAAACTAAAAAACAGTTTTGCCATCGTACTCTGACTTAGATATATAACAAAAATTATTTGATTTGGTTTTTCGAACACGCATTTTTTACTCCGAGTACTGAGTAAATTTTATTACCGAGAGCACACAAAAAATAATTGTTTCATTTTCAAAACTTTTACATTCAATTCGATTAAAAAATTAAAATATTTTTATCGAGCCGGTAAGTCAAAAGTAAAAAACACAAAAATACTGAACTCCGAGGAAAATTCAAAACGGAAAGTCCCTAATCAAATGGCAAAATCAAATAATAAAACACATCAATCGAATGGACAACAACTGTCATATTCCTGACTTGGTACAGGCATTTTCAAATGTAGAAAATGGTGGATTGAACCTGGTTTTATAGCGCTAAACCTCTCACTTGTATGACAGTCGCATCAAAGCATTGTTTTAAATAATAATCCATAGCAACATGGATATCGTACCAACATCGTACAAAACGTGTAAGCTATCCGTGTGCCATTAACAGAGGCCAACGGCCGAGAGTGAATGTCATATATCATACGTCATACAACAATGAGTGTTGTCAACACATTTTCGATAACGCTACATCAAAACAATTTGAGAATGCACATAAAAAAGATAAGTTCCTTGAATTTTTTACTTCTCCTTAAATGAACTGGATGTAAGCAATTACATTGTATAAGTAACAGCTTATTTCGAATCAATTGAATAGTATACAGTTACGCCTTTGAATACACCTGTTATGAAAAATGACATGTTTTGATCTTTTTATCATATGCTTCAATAATGGGGAAAACAGTTTAATATATTTTGATCCTTTGTAGTTGTATTCAAGTAGTAGTTCAAAAAGTGAATTTTATACATCCGAAATACGGAATTGTTCTACCAAATGCCTCAACAGAGGACTGAAATAAGAGTATAATATATTTTTATATTGACGTGAAAAAAATGCAACAAAACATAATGAACGCTGTTTTGAAAAGTCGGAATGTCATGCGATAACGTATCGGAAAGGCCGGAAGCAGTTGATAATTTTTTTTCATATTAGCCCGTTTAGCTCAATTTCTAAAAAATGGAACTGTACAAAATGTGTATTATTTACTCTAAGTTTATGATAAAAACCACACCATGTCGTTTGCCGTGATGGATATCATATCGCTGGGTTGATAAATCATTTTCTCTAATTCTTACTCGATTTATCCTTTTCCTGTCCTGCTGATTATTTTTATTTAATCTACGGGTGGTTCGTTTGATCTCAGTTCTTCATTGGCTAAATTCGATTCTGACGTCACATTTCCTTTTTTTCCTCTGAAATTCCTATTGTTACGTCGCGAAAAAAGGCGACCATGCCTGATGACGTCATGTAAAAAGAAAACATATTTTGCAGGTCGTTCGAAGGGAAAGATTAGATTGTCTGCAGATCATTTAAAAATCATTAGAGAAACAGATTTCACCACCAAATCTCGTGCAATGCAATATTTATCCACTCTCGACAGTTAAATTTTAAACATTTAAAACGCTCGGCGAGCCTAGCGCTTTAAATTTGAAAATTTAACTGTCTCGAGTGGATGAATATCGTATCACACTCGATGCAGTAGTAGAATCTATATTTAAGATATGCTTATATAAAATAATGGTTTAATTGTACCCCTTGATAAAACTAATTTGTTTAAATATTCATTCATGAAATTTGAAGAATTGTCTTATTCGTGTGATATGACTTTAGTTATCAAGTGCTTTCGGTTTAAATCAACTGCATCCGGTGAATATCAACTACTTCCGGTTATTATCGCATGCCTTTCTGTAACGTTATCCCGTGTCATTTCGACGTCATACTGCAACATGTGCATATACCGGAAAATTCACCTCAATAGGTCATTATTTGTGAAAAAATTATTAAAGTAGGATAAAAAAAACAAAAATTAGGAAACAGGAGTAAATATGATTAAAAAATGCAAAAAAAATAATACGATACATGCATTTTTCAAAGTTTCCCAAAAAAGAACCGGAAATGATTACCCTTTTTTTAAATTTTATTTCCTTATGTATTTTTACATGCAAGATCAAAATATGAAATTCTAAATTTAAACATTTTGTGAAGGAGTTGATTACATTCACTTTGCTCTATGGCAATAATAATCGAATTACAACAACACAGTCAATTTTAAGTTTTATTTCCATCTATCCGAAAATTCCACCGGAAGAGTAATTTGTTTGGTAATAGCAGAAATGTAGTGTGGGATCACCGTGACTGTTCCAGTTACCGTAAGCGTGAGCACCGGAAGCAGAATTATGGTTATGGTGATCTTCTGTATCCATTTTGAAAACTTCCTCCCGGACTGTCATACCATAAACTTTCTGACAAAGCGTTGTGAATCTCAAGAGGTAAAATGGCCTATCAACAGGAAGAACTATAGCTGTCTGGTAATTACCGTCATTTCTGTAAGTGTGCATCATAAAATCAATTGAAAAGAAATGATTGTACTTTTATAGAAATGTTTTTTTATGAATCGATTTACTTTACACAAAGCCAACTATCATATGCATATGCTTTTTAAACAAAAAGGAAACACCGCACTGAAGTGTGTTTATAAGATAATAATTCATTGTTCATAATTCAAATCATATATGAGTATATAACTAATTGCATATGTCTTTCATCCAGATGGTATTATTATTTTTAAATCTTTTCAACAGTAGAATTTGTAAGCAATAAAAATTATAATATATTATTACATTTTGACATTTTAGGGTGCATAAAGAAACATCACGCAATCAGTCTTGAGTTTTACTTATGGTTATGAATGGCCCCTCTAATTGGTATCCTCTTTCGATTTCACAGTTAACAACAGACCCACAGCTACATCTCTGTACTGCAATTTTTTTTATCTTGCCCAAAATATTTTTATATCACAAGCAGACTGGAGAAATCTGTCCAAAGTTTTATACAAATATAAAAAAAGAATATGTGATTTGATTGCCAATGTGACAACTCTTTACCAGAGACCAAATGACATAGAAATTATAGGTCACCGTACCACTTTAAACAATGAGCAAAGTCAATACCGCATTTAAGGCCCCGAAATGACAGGGGCAAAAAAGGACTGCTGAAGTTCGTTAAACAATTTTATTCGTAAAAGTTGGTAGTGATGTAAACATTCATGAAAAGCTCAATTCTGTCCCAAATTTGTCAGTTACAACGGAAAAAGACGACGGATTTATATCTGTATTTTAATGCAAGTTAAAAATCTTTTTTTTTTTTGTTTGTATGGAACAATGTCATACTCAGCCTAAATGAAAACCATTGACGACACTATAGGGGGGATTTTTATGGAACGCCACAGCTGTCTTATGTGGAACTCTGATATAACTTTATGTGTTATTTATTATTACTTGATGATATTTTGTCTTTACTTAATATGGTTTTGACATTACGTAATGATGTTTTGATATAACTCAATATGGAATAGTCATTATTTAATGATATTTCGATATTACACGATATGGTTTCGTATTGACTTGATTTAGTTTTGTCATTACTCAATATGGCTTTGTCATTACTCGATGTGGTTTCACCATTATTAAATGTGGTTGTGTCATTAGTCAATGTGGTTTTAACATTACTTGATGTGAATGTGACTTAACGTTATGTAGTTGTTTCATTACATGATGTGGTTTTGTTATTTCGTAATGATGATTTGCCTATTCTTTATATGGTTTTAACATTACGTAATGATGTTTCAAAATTTGACGATTTTACACTACATGATGTGTTTGTTTCCTTATTTGATGTGGTCCTGTCATTCTTTGATGTGGTTATCCCATTACTTGATGAGGTAAAACCACGTGACCAATTCGGAAAAAAATATGTTCTATTTTAAAACAGATTTCAATATATCGTTTGTTTAATGTGCTTTGGATGGGTATCGCTATCCATTGAGTTAAAGTTCAAATTAAAGTTCGAGTGGTTGTTCAGAGTTATTTGGTATGAAAAAGGGGAACGGCAGACAATAATAAGAAAAAAAGTATTTAAAAGTTTACAGTATTTCGGACATAATTGTGATATCCCCAAACCACTTGTTTTTATCCTAAGTTCTCAAACGGAAGCATTATTTTTGTAATAAATTTGTAAAATATTCCACGGAACCCTGTGTCTCGCCTGATATTGCTGCTGTAAGTGTAAAAGCGTCATGTTGATCGGCTGTACATTTATCTATACATTTATCGGTAAAAAAAAAACAAAAAAAAATGCTTTTTCTTGAAATTGAGGAATAACTCCTATACAAGTTTTAAAACACTTCATGGAGGTTTACAAAACAGTTTAATTCGGTTTTATTTAACTAAAACAAAACTGTATGGTTTTCAACAATGAGCAAAACCCATACCCTATAGTAAGCTATAAAAGGTCCCGAAATGAAAAATGTAAAAAAAGTAGAAACCTAACGATCTATAGATAGATAGATAGATACTTTATTCTCTAAAAACTAAATACAAGTTTACAGAGAAACATACAATATAAATACAGATACAATAGTCGAGGTAAACAAATCCAGTATGATATTATTAAAGTAATATACATGGCATACATGTTTAGTAACAAGTATAATGAAAGGTTAAACTTAATAGAAATGAAAAAAAATGGAGATGGAGACGCCGACGCCACTATCGACGACGAAATATAGGTTTGTTGTGTCTCACTGCCGCTACATTGATGTCGCAGGCTCGACACAAATCAAAAGACTTGAACTTTATTGTTAACAAATGAAACACTTCAAATCAACTCACACTAAAGTAACAAGGAAACGGGGGAGGGGGGCTCGGACTTCGCGACAAAGCGACAAAGCATCAATACTATAAAATAAGAATTCTCCGAATTTTTTTTAGCGTAAATGATCATTTGAACTTATACGAATATCAATCTTTTATTTGTAATCAATTGAATTCCCTGATCTACCTCGCACTAATTGAAAAATAAACTTTTTGGAATATCTGTTTCGAATGTGATGACGGACATGTTCCAGTGGTCGTAACCATAAAACCGTCATCTTTTCCTTGAATGTAAACTACCAAATAAAACCAAATCACTGGGTTTGTACTTTTGTACACGACGGGTGCCTTTCTGGAGCATCCGAGATCACCCCGATGGATTTATATTACCCAGTCATACCGATCTATTGAAACAGCCAAATGAAACTGTTCTGTAAACCACCGCAAATGAAAGTGTGTGAGGGGGGGGGGCATATTGTTTTACCCTGTCCGTCCGTCTGTCCGTCCCATTATGAGTATATAGTTATTCCGCATAACTCCTCCTACAGTTTGAATCCTAGGAAGTTTTCTCTTTACTGTCTGTTTGTACATATATTGAAGGTGTGCATGTGGTCAGGGTTTTTATTTTTATTATCTTTTGCTCTTTTGGGAGATAATTGATCTTTTTTTTTGTCATTTTTGGGGTATAAGCGGTTAAATGAGTTGAGTGCAGGGGCATCACTTTGTTTAGTTTACATTTTTTATCGTGTTGTGCTGTTACACAACTGTAACAGTCCGAAGTAAGGTTAGGATTGAGCGCTCACATACATGTTAAACTCCGCCACGTGCAATTTCTTTATGTACCTGCCCCAAGTCAGGAGCATGAAGTTCAATTGTTGTCGTTGTATAAATGTATGTCATTTTTTTTTTGTAGATTGTTTATTTATAAATAAGACCGTTTGTTTTTTCGTTTGAATTTTTTCACATGTTGCATGGTGGCCTTTTGTAGCTGACTATACGGTGTGTTGAAGGCTGTACGGTTGCCTATATATGATTTCTTACATCCACTGCATTTAAACTCTTATGGATAGTTGTCTCATTGTCAATCACACCACATCTAGCTTTATTTCAACTTCTATGTTGCGTTTTGTATACTGTAACATTGTTTATCTTTTGTACGCATACCCCGGTGCCCTCTTTTCGGAAGACCGAGCAAAAGTCCTTGTTCCGCGATAGAAAATTTAATTACGAACTCATATAAGATAGCTCGAATTTCAACTCAAAATCTTGATAAATCTAAATGAGACTTAAATTCGAATCTAACTCAAACTTTACCTCAAAAGGTGACTCAAATTTAATGTTGTAACTAGAACTCTATCTCAGTTAAATGTGACTCAAACTCGAAGTCCAACTCGAAACTCAATGCTAACTAAAACTTTAATTCTAATAATGACTTGAATTCGAAATCGAAGACTAACTCAAAGTTTAACTCAAACAGTAACCCGAACTTTAATTTGAACTCTAATTCGATGGATGGCCACACTCATCCAAGGCACATACAACATGGAAATCTAACTAAAAATAGAACAGGTTTTTCCGAATTGGTCACGTGTTTTTACCTCATCAAGTAATGGGATAACCACATCAAAGAATGACAGGACCACATCAAATAAGGAAACAAACTACGGAAGCGTATATGTGCCGTGTCTTTGTGAGTTATTTTCTCCGTTTCACGAGTTAAATATAACGAGTTGCTGACTTACTTCTCAACAACCCGACTTATAAAATCGCACGTTAGTGTCTTAAAACGCAGTATTACAAGTTATATATTACACGTTACGAGTTTGTTTTTTAAACTTCGTGCGATATCAAACTCGTGTTACTCATTTCGATCGCGTTATGCGAGTTTTTCTTTGCCAGTTTGTGTGTTTTTATAACCCGATTACGAGTTGTAGAACTCGAGTTTGTTTAGCCAAAAACACTAACACAAGTTCCGTAACTCGCCTCAATGCAATGTTTGGCGCCTTTTTCATTACCAAACTGGAGAAGCAATGGCGGAGGTGCGTATAAAATATTTCTGTAGAAAATTTAAAGCATAACAAATGTCTGATGTGGGGTTGGGAGAGTGGAACCTCTTTTTAGCTCACCTTTCCTAAAAGGAAATGTGAGCTTTTCCCATCACTTGGCGTCCGTCGTTGTCGTCGTCGTCTGTCGTCTGGCGTCTGGCGTCGTCGTTAACAATTTTTCAAACATCTTCTCCTCTGAAACTACTGAATGGATTTGGATGAAACTTAGCATGATTGTTCCTGAGGTTATCCTGCACAAAGTTTATGCTTCGATTTTTGATCCGTCAAAAACATGGCCGCCGTTACTTAAAATAGAACATAGGGGGTGAAACAACAGTTTTTTGCAAATATCTCAAAATTATTAGGTTAAGATAAATTCTGGCAATTTCAAAGTGTTAAGCATGATGAGAGCTACCTTTGTGCAGATTTTCGTGAAAATCTGTCGACTGATGTTTGAGTTATTGTCTTTTTTGACATTTTTCGCTATTTTTGATGTTATTATAGATCTAAAAATCTTCTTCTCTGAAACGACCATTCAAAATCAAATGAAACTAAGTAAGATTGTACCTTAGGGTATCCTACAAAAAGTTTATGCTTGGATTTTTGATTGGTCGAAAAAAATACTTCAAATATAACAGCCACTTTTTCGTCGCTTCAGTATTTAAGATACATTTTTGTCCTATTTACACATGGCCTGGCCGGCCAGGCCATGTGTAAATTATACAACAAATCTATGGCTTGCATGAATTATTTCTTAATCATACTCACAAACAGTTCAACCAAAGCTTTTTAAATATTGATCTGTTGTAACTAATGTGACAAACTGAGGACAAATTAAATTTTAACAATTTTCCACTTTTGTATTTGTTTGACATGTTTGAGGAGTTTAATGATCCTTGAAATGTAGAAAAACTTGCATTATAAAAATAATTGTAAAAAAATCTGTTTGATGTCTGTGAAAGCCTTTTATTTGTTAATTTTTTTCAGAGGAAAAGATGATTGCGATGATTGATAAATTACGTGAAAAAGTTAAAAAAAGGAAACTAGTAAGTATTAAATTTCTGTTAATTTGTTTTTTTATCTCTGGTAAATGAGGACTTGGATGAGTTGAATATCCAGTTTTCTTTTTCTTTTAAGTTCACACAATTTGTTGCATCTTGTATTCATGATAATAATGTCTTGAAAGTAAGATTATTGTACAGTTTTATAGTTCTTTTTTCATTAAGGTCTCTCACATTGTCCCTAAAGCCATACAAAAAAATCGTCATTTGTCCCTCCATTTGGTGTAAACCATTTTAAAGATCTTCTCTGAAACTACAGAACCAATCTCAACCAATCTTCAGCTGCATGATCCCTAGGGTATCAAGTATAAAGTTTGTGATTTAACTGTTACTTAAAAAACATTGGCCACCATGGCTAAAAACAGAATGTAGCCCTGCATGTGTAAAATGCACTTTTTGGCTTGATATGCATAATTCCAACCATAGTAGATTTAGGTGAGCTTCAGAGGCTGTTCAGAGCCTATTACCAACCTTGAGACAGAAAAAGGTTAATAATATCTTGATTTGCATATTTCAGATTGTGAATTATAATTGTTGTTACATATGAAATTACAAAGTTATTTTTGTTTTGTGAGCTAAATTAAGGCCTTCGCGACCATACTCCTTTTATAGCAGAAGGGTCATTCATATTGTACATAACAATATTTTAAATCTGTTCTTTCAGGAACCTGCAACACTTGATAGGGAGGTGAACAGCACTAGTAGCACTCAACGCAGTAACTTAAAATTTCATTGTGGGTGGAAGCATTACTCATTTGCTTCCAACGTGTATAAGCAAGTAAAATCCAATTCAAAAAAACTCAAACTAACTGATTGTGGGAGCCAAATTATAGTTGTTAAATATAATGCAACATATGAGGAGGTAATAGAGAAGCTTACAGATAAATATTACCCCTGTGGCAGAAGCAAGAAAGGGTCTTTACATAAAATGACACTGAGCTTTGGATCTTTCACTGAAACAATAAACAGAGAAAATTTTTCAGCGTTACAATTCTACAACGAACGTAAAACTTCAGAAGCAAGGATTTACCTGTTGTCTAAGGAAAAGGTGTGTATCTATTAGCTTTGTTTATAAAAAAAATGTTGATTATAATTATTTAATCATGTCTATTTAGAATGGTATTATCAATAAGTAAACCTAAAATATCCTTATAGCTTACTACGTAACATAGTACTGTCCCAGTACAACATGTCCAATATGAATCCTTTCAGCAAATTTGAATATGATATTATTGTTGTTTTGTACCAGTATTTGATAGATTATAGTGTCAGTATAGTGTGTCTTTACATCAATTTTGAGTGCACCTATTTCCCAGCATTAAGTATTCAACTTGTTACAGTAAGTGTCAAGTCCCTCCAAGCCAAGCATTTAATTATACCCCTGCCTCTCATCTTAAGCTATATATATTAGGTGTATACTTAAGCCTGAATTATTTCTAGTAAATTTAATACAGTTAAATATGAAGTGGAGACTTCTAAATTCAGTCATTATAATAAATTTGGTGTAGGAGGATAATAATAGGAAGTATCCTGTCCATCCCTCTGTCCAAATGTCTAATGTAAGTGCAACTACTCCTTTTAAAACTAGAGGTACTGTGTTCAGAGCTCACAAAAATATACTCAGCTCCTTGCAAAGATCAGGTTTTGTATTGAAAACCCCAAAGATCAAATTGACCAAAAACCAAATAGGAGGTGCACAATGGCATTATATGATTTAGAATCTCAGACAGTTTCATTAAATTATGATTTGAGTGGTTTAGGAGGAGTTGCGGATACAAAATGCGTACCCCAATTACAATACATACTGACATGTCTAAGGTATTATAATTATTATTACATTGATATGACATTAAGTTAAATCTCTTTGTCTTTTCTTTATGATACATTAAAATATTTTAATTTTGGGGATTCCGTTATATCCTGGGTTAAAACTTTTTATAATAATATAACAGCTGCAGTAACTCAAAACTGTTGTCTGTCAGACATTTTTTTTTGTAGAGCGAGGTTGTTTAAGACAAAGGGATCCTTTATCTCCTTATATTTTCTTACTGTGTGCTGAAATATTAGGCAAATTGGTGAGAAACAATTAGGAGATAAAGGGCATTACTATAGATGATACAGAATTTAAATTGTCTCAGTATGCAGACGATACTTCTTTGATTGTAGACAGCTCTTCTGAGTCGCTCTATGCATCTCTTTGTGATCTCCAATTTCATGCTGAAATCTCAGGACTAAAAATTAATATAGAAAAAACAAATGTTATTTGGATAGGTAGTAAAAAACAGTCAAAATCAAATTTGTGTTAAGTGGGGATTGAAATGGGTACATTTCAACTTCTTGGAATTACTTTTTCAGTTGACCTTGATAGAATGGTTAAGCTGAATTACAAGCCAGCTTTGGAATCTATAGATAATACACTTAACATTTGGTCAAATATAAAAAAGAAGATTTGGTGTAATATAGGATTAAATTCATTTTTAGCTCAGCTGGCCCATGTGAGCTTATGTCATCACTTGGCGTCCGTCGTCGTCCGTTGTCCGTCGTCGTCGTAAACTATTTCAAAGATCTTCTCCTCTGAAACCACTGGGCCAAATACTTCCAAACTTTAACATAATGTTCCTTAGGGTATCTAGTTTATAAACTGTATCCATAGTTTTGATCCATTGACAAACATGGCCGCCATAGCTATAAATAGAACATGGGGGTCAAATGCAGATTTTGGCCTATATCTCAAAAACTATAGCATTTAGAGCAAATCTGACACATTGGTAAAAATGTTCAATAGGTCAAAATCTATCACCCCTGAAATTCTCAGACCAATTGGACAATCCATTGTTGGGTTGCTGCCACTAAAATGGTAATTTTTAGGAAAATTTTCAGTTTAAGGTTATTATCATGAATATTATAATAGATAGACAGAAAGTGTAAGTAGCAAAAATGTTAAACAAAGTAAGATCTACAAAAAAGTTCGAATGACCAAAATTGTCAATTGACCCCTTAAAGAGTTATTACCCTTTAAAAACAATTTTACACAATTTTGTCATCATGTTTGCTAACATTTAAAAATCTTCTGCTCTGATGCAGACTACTTGGCCAAATACTTTGAAACTTTAACTGTATACAAAGTTTTGATCCATTTACAAACATGGCTGCCATAGCTATAAATAGAACATAGGGGCAAATGCAGATTTTGGCCCATATCTTAGAAACTGAAGCATTTAATTAGAACAAATCTTGACATGGGTTAAAATGTTCATTAGGTCAAGATATATCACCACTGAAATTTTCAGAAATAATTGGACAATCCATTGCTGGGTTGCTGCCACTAAAATGGTAATTTTAAGGAAATTTTGCAGTTTTAGATTATTATCTTGAATATTATGATAGATAGAGAGAAAGTGTAAATGGCAAAAATGTTCAGCAAAGTAAGATCTGCAAATAAGTCAAATGACCAAAATTGTTAATTGACCCCTTAAGGAGTTATTGCCCTTTAAAGACAATTTTACACAATTGTGTCATCAACACAATCATATTTGCTAACATTTGAAAATCTTCTGCAGCCGCTCTGAAACTACTTGGCCAAATACTTTGAAACTTTCACTAAATGTTTCTCAGGTTATTGAGTTAATGAATTATATCTGAAGTTTTGTTCATCGACAAACATGGCTGCCATGTCTAAAAGAAGAACATAAGGTCAAATGCAGTTTTTGCAGCTTATTGATGATTTAACATGTTTAAAGGAAATTTTGCAGTTTTAGGTTATTGTCTAGAATATTGTTATAGATAAAGATAAACACCAAAAATAATCATTGATGAAAGATTTAAGCAAAAAATTACAGGTGAGCGACTCAGGCTCTTGAGAGCCTCTTGTTTCTAGAGGTAATTGATGTGTAAACTCGGTCTGTTAACTCACAAACTGAAGTAAAGTCTGAAGGACTTTTATGATAAGTTTGTGAGTAAGCGACCCAGTTTACACATAAATAACCTATAAAAAAAATGTGTTTAATCCTTATAATTCTTAATCCTTACATTATTTATTATTTCTTCTTAATTTAACTTTCTTTTCGCCCCCAAATTCCATTCATGTGTACCACATGAATAATTATGTTATTCTATTCTGAATACCTTTATTTACATACATGTTGTTGCTTATTAGGGCCCTGCCAAAGGTGGGTCGCCCTATAGTGATCAGTCTGTCCGTCCGTCTGTCCGTCAGTCTGTCCGTAACAAAATCTTGTCTGCTCCATATCTTGAAAACCGTTATGATTTCAAAGTTTAAGCTTCACATGTATATTGACCAACACCAGAGGGTGTGTCATAATGTATGTTCAACTTTGTAGGTCAAAGGTCAAGGTCAAAAACTTAGGTTTTAGTATAGAACCCCATGTCCTGTGGGAAAGATCCTGTCTGCTCCATTTCTCAAGAACCGTTATGATTTCAAAGTTTATACTTCACCATGGGCAACAGCATTCTTAAGTGGTAGAAAACAACAAGTACGGGTAAACAGCAGCTACTCAGAATTCAAACAGGTGACAAGCAGCATCCCTCAGGGCAGTGTACTGGGACCAATATTGTTCGTCATTTACATTATTACGTCGTTTGAAGCATTAGCAAGGCCTAACCTCGAATATGCAAACGCTATATGCCATAATATGTATATTGACCAACACCAGAGAGTGTATCATAATGTATGTTCAACTTTGTAGGTCAAAGGTCAAGGACAAAAACTTAAGTGTTAGTATAGAACCCGATGTCCTATGGGAAAGATCATGTTCGCTCCATATCTCGCGAACCGTTATGATTTCAAAGTTTATACTTCACATGTATATTGACCAACACCAGAGGGTGTGTCATAATGTATGTTCAACTTTGTAGGTCAAAGGTCAAGGTAAAAAGACTTACATTTGGGAATCCCATGTCCTATGGTAAAGATTGTGTTTGTTATGGACAGCGGGGCCCACTGTGATGGCTCCCATTTCACTGATATCTAGTTATTTCAATAAAGCTTATTCATTATAAAAAAAAGTTAATCAGCTATTTTGTGTGTGTCAATTCCTGCCTGGACATTTTGGGCTGATCATTTTGATGTATCATGCTGCATTTTGTAAATCAAAGGATTGGTAATATTGGCATATTAATAAGTTACTGTAGTTGATTATCAGCCTATTTAAAATTTATCAAATCACGTAAACATTGTGCATTTGTTTTTACAGATACATGACATGCTTGCCATAACCGATTCCGATTCTGATGAATTGGAAAGTTTAGGATTTCCCGGAAACATGTCCCCACCAGAGCCTGAAATAATACTAGGAGTTGGAAAGCCTATGACATCTCCAGCCATGAATGTTCCTTTTAGATCATCAACACTAGGAACACCGAACATTGCAACTCCTCAGGCAATTGTTTCTAGTAGAACACCTACACTAGGAACACCCACACTAGGAACACCCACACTAGGAACATCAATAGGAGCTTTTGGTGGAACACCAATAGGTGCTACTGATACAAACAAACCTATTGTATTTCATGCTGATACACCTACAGTAAGTTTTCTATATAGGAACAAGCTAAGCATTTTATCATTTAACTCTTTAACCTTTTTTAAAAAACTTTGGCACATGTTTCTATATTTTTATACACTCCCCAAAAAACAAAAGTTTTGGGGGGTTTATAGGAATCACCCTGTCCGTCTGTCTGTCTGTATATGTCTTGTAAGCGCAACTACTCCTTAATGAATGGACCAATATTGATGAATCTTCACACAGTTGTAGTACATGATATAAGGATGTGCATGAAGGAAAATATTTCTGGTAGGAATTATTTCAAGGGAGATAATTGAATCTACTGAATTAAATATAGCAATAAATGGCAACAAGTCTTGTAAGCGCAACTACTCCTAAACAGATAAATCAATATTGATGAAACTTTACACAGTTGTTGTACACAACCTGTAAACGTGCATGAAGGAGGATATTTCTGGTCAGATTTTTTTCAAGGGAGATAATTGAAATCACTTAGTTTAAATATCCAATATTTGGCATTAAGCACAACTCCTCCTAAATGACTGGAGTAATATTAATTAAACGTTACACAGTTCCAGTACATGACCAGAGAATGTGCATAAAGGAAGATATTCTTGGTCTGAAATATTTAAAGGAAGATAATTAACTTGCTTTAAATAGATGTAGTTATATTTTTCTGGTTTCTACACACTGACATAAAATATGCAAAGAGAGATAACTCTAATTATTATTAATTTTAAATTTTCTTTTATTTAAAGTCATAAATAGTAGTTACACATTCCTTTTGTGTCAGAAACTTCTGTTGTGTTAACTATTTAATCACAATCCAAATTTAAAGCTGCATGTATCAAGCTTGAATGTACCGTAGTGTAGTAAAAATGCCATAATGGGATGGGGTATCCTTAGTGAGTTGGCTCACAGTTTTATGCAATATTCACTATCCACACTCATCTGTGTCCACTCTTGTTATTAATTGATAGCTGTGAATTATTCTCAAGAATTATAAGCTTAAAAGAGGTGACTTGATTATCATCCAATGATACCCTGACGATATAATAGTAAATGAAGTATAACCAACATAAAAAACACTACACAATTAAATACATTATATGATATTTCTCAACTCTTGTCCAAGCCTCAGGTTTGTCAAGTTCTGAAGAGAAATATTGATTTTAATAAAAAAAAATTATATTAAATTGATAGACTTATTTCATTTAGAACTTTTAGTTGTCTAAATATCAACAGATTTGACATATATATCTTAAAGTCATATGAAAAGAGTTGATGGAAAAAATTATGTTCCCTAAATTATTCATCCAATACATGCACATATACTTAACTAAGACCTTTGTAATATATTTTCACTTTTTATATTGAGTGTAATGTGTAATTTACAAACAAAATAATGCGTTTGTTGATTTTATATGGAAACCATCTTTCCTAATTAAACTTAGTGACGAACTTGCGATGTTCTCTGACACGTTTATATTGATAAACAATCGACAAAAGTGTGCACTGAAAGCATGTGGTTAATAAGTGTGACAATTGAGCTGTGTTGATTAATCCATTTTTAAAATATTTTCTGCGTGTTTTTGTTTGTTAATCAACCTTATAAAACTGTTTTAAAACAAATTTGTGTATAAAAAGATTTCTTTCATCATCGATCAAAAAATATGTCTTAATTTCCAATGAATGTTGGTTTATTTTTAATTTAATTTTAATATTGTACTTGCGCAGTAACGGCTTTCACATTGTTTAAGAGGAATATCATGCATACGGAAAAGCATTCGTTGAATATCAGATTAATTACTTGCTGGAAGTAAATAATTCAGAAGCCGTACATTTCATAAAGTTTTACAATAAAACACAAGAGTTTTCACTAAAAGAAGTATATGGATAAAGGTTAACTATTTAGTTTAAAAAAACATGTTCAACTTTTTTTTTCAACAACTCGTTTCATATGACTTTAAGATTGCACATGTACAGATGTAGTATATATACATGCTCTACAAAATAAACTTTAATATTTTCGTACGACTGATGCAGATTTAATTGAGTTGAATCCTTTGTGAAAGGCCGCTGCCTGGATATATTGGTTTCTATTGATAACAACAAATGACAAACAACATCCATTTAATATTAAAACTATATATGACATCTTGAGTGAGATACCATGGAACATGCAACACTCTCCTGCCTTAACTACATTTGGAAATCTATCAATTATAATAAAATTATATTATTCAGATCAAGTAAAGTATACACAAATTTTGCTTGCTGATTAATGATGTTATATTTTAGCTTTGGTATTTTTTTTTCAGGTTACATTCTCATATGACAGACGCTGTCAGATCTGTGTGGACCGGGAAAGGGATGCTTACCTGTCACCTTGTGGTCACACATTTTGTCTTGTCTGTGCATTGCAAGTTGAAAATATGGGGCAAAACTGTCCATCCTGTAGGGGGGAAATTGACAAAGTGTGTTCCATGTTTCTATAAGTTGTTATTCATGTTGATAGATTGTACTTTTTTGTAATAGGAGTGTAAATGTAAAATGATATTATGTTTGCAAGTATTAGACAAATATATATGCTGGTTCAAAGAATGAGGTAGAAAGATGTAAGCAAATGTTTTTTTTTCTTTTCAAAGTGTGAAAAAGCATTAAATAATGTTATTTAATGAACTGAAGTATATTAAGGTAAAAAATTACTTATTTTTACTTCATCTACAATTTAGGTATGTGAAATGTTAAAAAAACTTCCTTTTCACGAAATTCAGTATTAATGACTATTCGGGGACTATTCTTTTAATCACAAAATTTATGTTAATAGAAAATTGTCGGAAATTGTAGTCAGTGTGTAGTGTCCATAACCATCCGAATTCTTGTAAAAAAGTGTATTTTAAAGATTTGTCTTTTCAGAAATTCATTTTTTAATCATTCCTGAAGTGAACAGCACTTCTTCTGTTTAGATATGTTTAAAGTTTTACTTCAGATTTGAAATTACTTAATTTGTCCTGTCAATGTCAATATGTCTTGTTTGTTTTCATTGAAATAACTTTAATTACATAAATTCATTTATAATCCAGCAGCATTTTGGTGTTAAAAATGTAAACATTAATAGAAAAATACACTAATTTGATATTTTACCTTTGAAAAATGATTCTTGAAGTGATTTACTTTTAAGAGTTCATTTTGTAAGAGATCCATTTTCAAACAGTGATTTAAATTCCCATGATTAAAAGGTAAAATCCTGATGGTTTGATGGATTACATGTATATAATCTCTCATTTTAAGAGCTGTGCAGTTATTATAACATTCCTATTTTTTTTACTTTGCAAGATAGGGGTGTTACATTGTAAAATGTGAACCATGTTTTTTTTCTCTGTGATTTTTATACCCCTGCTTTGTACAGCAGAGGTATATAGTAATGGGGAAGTCCGTCCTTCTGTTTGTCTTGTCCCTTCCTTTGTCCCTTCGTCTGTCCCGTACAATGTGTTTCTCTTTGTTTCCGCAACTCTTCCTTTAAACCACTTATCAGAATGAAAGAAACTTTTTCAGATTCTTTATGATATAATGCCATTGTGCACCTATTTTGTTTTTGTTCAAAATCATTTTGGGTGTTTCCATTTCAAAAACATGGACTAAACATACATGAAATAGGGAGTACCCATGTTGTATCTGTGCAACTTCTCCTAAACCACTTATTATAATTTAATAAAACTTTCTCAGATTCTTTATGATATAATGCTATTGTGCACCTCCTATTTTTTTTTGTTCAAAATAATTTTTTGAGTTTTTATTTTAAAAACGTGGACTTTTCCATTGCCTTATAATTGGGATACTCATTTTGTATCTGCAACTCCCCCTAAACCCCTAATCATAATTTAATGAAACTGAGATTTTAATCAGCAATTGTGCACCTCCTATTTGATTTTTTGTCAAATTGATATTTTGGGTTTCCAATACCAAGACATAAACATTACAAGGAACGGGGGTATAATTTTGTGAGCTCTGATCACAGTACTTCCAGTTGGTTTTGTATTTTGTTAATTAGTTGTATAAGAATCATTATAAGTTAGGCTCAACAGGTATGATAGATAATTTAAAATACATAAGTATTAAGAGGTTATATTTACAAGTAGTGTCTGTAACCAGCACTTACCTTACTGTTTACAAAGGATAATTTAAACAACAACTCATTGTTTTTCCCACTAACCAAATTTCATGTATTTAGGTTAACAAATGATTTTTTTTATTGTTAACTTTTATTTTTGACCACAAGTAACTGTCCCCTTAATTGTGTTTTACCCAAATAAATCAGTTGATTACTTATAAGACCTGGATCCTTCATATATACTATAGATGCTTTATGTTATGAACTTTCAGTCTGTTGTTCATTTTCCTCATTTTAAATAGTTCAGTGATTTTTTGAAAGAAAGTTGTTCATTGGATGTTATTTTTTCTATTATTGTGAATTATAAGATGTATTTGTGGTTTCTTGGAAAATCCTTGTGCCTGTAAAGACAGTTTTCACATTACCTCATTTCATGGATCAGTGAACTAGTTAGTTTGCATTGGCCAAGTCCATATATTTAGTACAGTATATGGAATTATTGTAAGGTGTACTGCATGTTCTACTATAGTGTTGACCATGACCTCATTTTCATGTTCAACTGATAGAAGTTAATATTTTGTGGTTTAGTCTAGTTTTGAGATACGAAGAAGTCATTATATCATATTATATCCGGTTAATGGAATGGTTTTGAAGGTCTACATATTTGTTTAGCAGTAATTGTCTGACCTTGACCTCATTTTTATGGTTCAGAATTTTTTTTTCCCTATTTGATCTGGTTTTTTTGTCAATTGACCCCTTAAGGAGATACATGTATTACCCTTTTAAGACATTTTTTTTCACAATTTGTTCATAATGTTTGGTAACATTAAAAAAAATCTCCTTTAAAACAGCTGGATCAATTTCAGCCTAGCCTGAATGAGTTTCAGGGTATTTAGTATTTAATAAGTTAATGTTAATGTTGTACGTCATGAAACATAGCTACTATGGCTTAAAACATAAGGTTTAAATGATTTTTTTTGTCTTTTGAAAAAAACATGATAGTTAAAATAGCCTATTTAAGGACACAGTATACATTAAAAAACCAAATTAATCAGTGATGAAAGATTTCAGCAAAACATTACAGGTGAGGGATTCAGGGTCAGTTAAACCAGTTTCACAGATACTTTAAGTGATAAATCAATTATACCTATTGAATATTTGTAAGTTGTCTGTCTTACAGGTTTCATCTTGCCTTGACCATATTTTATGCTTTATTGGGAAAAATTAAGGTTTTTTTGTTCAATGATACTTAAAGTTTTAGGTTAACTAAATTTGGAATGATTGCAAAGCCTACATGTCTGCCTAAAAGATTTAATCTCACCTTGACCACTTCTACACAGGTACATGTAATTGAAATGATAATGTAATACTTAAAAGTATTGAAATACATGTATGAACACTTATACAGGCAAGACATATCGCTGTGTCCACTCTTGATACATTTTATATATAAACTGTTAACTTTGTTAATTGATTGTTTTCAGCTAACAATATTTGTTTTTGTGATATTTTGTTATATTTATATAATGCAAGGTATGCATGCAAGCATTGTTCTGTGATTTTTTTATAGGACTGACTGGTAAAAATTTGCATTCTTATTATGGCCATGATGTTGTTAATGTTGTCTGTAGACTTTTGGTTACATCAAGCTTTACAACGCATTTTATTATTTACATTTAAACACTTTTTTTAACATTTATATGCTGCAAAGTATGCATGATTTTTTATATGATTTTTTATATTGTGGAATGTATGCAAGTTTTTATGATCGGATTTAGAGATGGTAAAGTGATTAAAAGAGAAAAAAATCTGATGTCTTTCTATATATTTTGTGACTTGGCCAAACTTCTATACATGCATTGAAACACACATAGTCATAAAACACACAACAGATTTGTTAAATGAATATCATGGATGGACTCTATTCCCTTCTCAATCAAAGTCATGATGGGGGTCATTTAAGGGTTTATCCCAGTTGATCTACTGTGCAAAGTAACCTTTTTCCCAATTGATACTCTATATTTATATCCAATACAGTTTTTGTTTGTTTCAGTTGTTATGTTTGAGCACTTTTAAGATTTTCCAAATACCAACTTCCTGTTTGGTGATACTTTGAAGAATTTTCAATATGCTAAATGAACTTTAAAATTTTTCGTCAAACACTTCTTTAATATAAATGAGCTAAATGACTTCATACTTGGCCACCACCTTACAGTGATGAGTTGTTATGTTTGAGCACTTTTCAGATTTTTCAAATACCAACTTCCTGTTTGCCGATAATTTGAAAATTTTCAATATGAAAAATGAACTTCAAAATTTGTTTTCTCAAACACTTCTTTAATATGAATGAGTGGAAAGACTTCATACTTGGTCACCAGCTTGACAGTGATGAGTTGTAATGTGTGAGTACTTTTCAGATTTTTTTCAGATACCAGCTTCCTATTTGCTGATATTTTGAAATCTGAATATGCAAAAGTGAGCATACAATTATACCCAAACTCTATACATGCAGTTATTTTACCCCCACTCAAGTCTGATAATTAACCTTAAGAAATTAATTCAAAACTTCTGCATCTTAAACATGATTTTAATATCTTATATATACAACACGATAATTATACCATGTCAGCCATTCTACTAAATAAGTCGGATGTCAGGGTGATATACTTAACACAACACGGTGTGCAACTTCTGGTTTTTATTGGTGGGATCTAAGGCAAATCACCCTGTTTGTCCTGGTGTCTTGCTTTTGCGCCAATTGGTAATTCATTTGCGCTACAAACCATACTTTATTTGGGCCAAAATAAAATCAAACCATACTTCAAAGTTTGCGCCAATTTTACAGGTAAACACAGGTAAATTGTAAAATATATGAAACATAGACTAAGTAGATTAAATAACTGAATGAATTTTTTTTGCATTAATTCCTCATAAAATAATAAAGACATATTCAAGTTAAAGAGGGGGGGTACAGTAACAGTTAACAGCAAATACATTCTCACAATAACAGATAACAAAAAAAATTATAGTTCTATAACAGCTACATAGAATTGTCAATTACAGATAACAAATTCAAATTCAAATCTTTATTGTCATTACACCATAAACATAGTATGTGACACAGAAAATATATTTTCAGAATAACATAACACAGAATTAAATTGGCTCAGAACAGCATAACAGTTATACCCCTTGCCCTTCCCCCCTTCTTTAAAATATATTTAAAACCTATTTGCAATATATTTAAAAAACATCTTCTTTAAAATCAAAGCACTAAATACTGGTTTAAAAAATGATAAAACATGTTCTAAAAATGATTTTGCCATCAGATTCCCTTGTGTGTATGTTCCGGACCATATGCGTATGGTCCGGTTTACCAAAACGATGAATATAGAAATCTATAATAATATTATTTTTTTAGGTATGACCCTTCGATCTAAAAAAATATGAGATTTTGATAATGATTTCTTTTAGTTTTTGAGTAAAATGGTCGTAATTATTAACGATTAATTAATTAAATAAAGTGACGACGAATGACCAAGTGAATTTTACTCACAAACAAATTATATTGACCACAATTATACATGGTCATTATCAATTTGTCGTACACTATGGTGACTTGGGAAGAAAATTTCACCAAATTCTTAGCTAAAATGTTAGAAAAAAATCAACTGTTCTGCTCGCAGATGAAAAGTCAGCAGGATAAAGTCATTTTTATTCAACAATAACAAAGGAAATTCAACAGAAACGCCCAGATTCAGGCAATATATAAAGGAGAAAAGCTTTCAATTTGTATCATGCAGCCGCAAAAAAAGAAAAAAAAATGCAGGAAATCAATGGTTCCGTGTGGAAGTAAATGTCACACTAAACGTACATGCCAAAATTCCATTTATGACTTTTTCATTTTCAATTTTCATATATGTTTAATTGTCTTGTTGAATAATAATACTGAGAATCACAGAATAAAATCTGTAAAAACGGGGTAACCAATACAATTACAAATCTGTTCTTGCCGCCTATGGTTGGTTTTAGTGGGTTTATTGTGCGTCTACCTGGTTAGGTTTTGCGCACTATGTACATAGTTTCTTTTTATTTCTTTATATC